TTTTTCTTTTTCTTTTTCTTTTTCTTTCCCCAGCATGCTATTACCTAGGAGAAAAAATGGAAAATCTGTCCAGAAGTGTTACTGGACAGAAAACTTAGCCCATACAGCTTCCAAATGGAGGACAGCCTAGCTTTCAAGACAGTCAATTTGAATAGTTTACAGCAAAATGTTTACATTAGATACTGTTTTATAGGTTGGCATTTTGAACAGCTTTGTACTTTAGCAAAAAACCTTTACTTACAAGAATTTTAATTTGTGAAGCAGTCGTGGCTTTTTGCTGTTACTGAGCTGAGATTTAAATGCACTTTTATCAGACTTTCTCTGTAAATTTCAGAAAAGACAAAGGTCCAATTTTGTATTCCTTATGTTAGGCATCAACTGTTTATGTAAGTGGTCCAGTCAAGAATTAACCAGAATTGGTCATGCATTTTGAAATGTCAGCCACACATTCAATAATAGGAGTGACACATGGACTCTCACAAAGAAAACTTTCCTGCTCCCTTTGCACTAGGAAGGAGGTTTGTGTCCCATTTCCCACACAGCGAATTAAGACCGTATAGATGAATTGCAGATCTGGCATACACAGGAGCGCAAAGAGAAGAGTTTCAGAGACCTACATTGAAAATTTATGATCTACTTTGACTAAATTAGCAATATTACAGGTCTAACAGCATTACTTCCAGAAGAACAAGCAGCGCTTCTCCAATGTTGCTCGGAGAAGGACCAGGAAGATTAACTTTTACCAAAGCAGTTTAGAGTTAGAAAGTTTCTTTAGTACCAGTCTAAGACTGGATAAATAGCACAGCAGGCTAACCAAGTAATGAGGAATTACAGAAAGTTCCCTTCTTTGGATCAAAAAAAAAAGCAGAATGAAGACCAAACATCTATAAGGGTTATGTACACATATTTTTAATTCTTTTCTGAAAACAAAGGTCCTAAGGCAACCTTTCTGCCATCCTATCATCACAGGATGTGTGTCTGAGGTGTGATTCTTTATGATGTCATTACTGTAAAATTTTGTGATTTAATATTCATCCCCACACCAGAAGGAACAGTGAGGCACACCAGTAGGTGGAGGAGCCCCAGCCACCTTCTCCAACCTCTGGATACCCATCATTATGGAAAAGGTGGCATCATTATGGGATGCAGAGGATGAATATTTTTGGGTTGTACATGAGTTATAATAAATCTGTTGAAGACTTCAGAATTTAGCATCAGGTCTCAGACATCTCCATTAAAAATGGTTCCTATCATCTTGAATTTATTGTTGTGTCTCCTCCCTGGAATTTATTAACAGCTCACTTTCTCATTAGCCCTCATGATCTTATCTCAGAGGTTCTGCAGTTTGGCGTTTTAATTTGAATTGAGCTACAAGCGCTCCACAATTATAGCACAAGCTCAGGTTTTGATTAAAAACATATAAAGCAAGCTTCAACCTTTCAACCTGAAAATATGAATGAAGCAGTTGCAGAATTCAGAAAACAATGAAAAGTCCTGAGAATATTTGTTACCTTCTGGAACTTAAAATTTCAGAATCATCCATGAGCTTGGCACACTTGGGACTGGGTGGTACTGTATCTGTCTCTTCACTTGAAGTGTCAAACCTGTTCTGAGCATCTGGACATGTTTTTCCTTAAATTGCCAGGAGCTTGTAACCGCTGTCCTGCTGAGAATTGATTCCTCAGTAAAAATCTCCAGTTCTGCATAATGAAAATAGGACAACACTGGAATCCATGGAATAAAATTGCAAGGCTTATAAGCCTGTTAATTAAGACTGTTATTCTTTCTGATTGATTATCTATTTACTTAATTAAATAGGCCTGCAATCTTTAGATCACTTAACCTTTCTCTGACACACTGTAGTGCCAACTTCCATTGCTTCCTCAAAGTAATAATTTTGCTCATTTTGCCATTCAAATAGCAGTGCTCTGTCTTATATGGGTTTCCATGTGGGATTCATCCCTGCCTCTAGTGCTTTACAGAAATGTCTCACCAGGCAGTGCTCTTTGGAGCTGCGTGCCTTTTAAATGGTTGCATTTAGGCTAACCTAAGTAAATCATCTTTGGGTTAATGAGAATTATTTTCACACAGTGTATATGGCACATAACTAGGCAAGGGAATATTTTCAAAGGTACTAAAGACCAGTTAGAGGCATAACATTTTCCCAGAGAAAAGTCATAGACAATTAGATGTCTGACAGACATAGCGGCCATTGAAAATCCTTTTCAATACAGTCTTAAATTGTCTTCTAAAATGCCACTTTAGAAGTTCAAAGTATATAGGTAAGGATCTATTTCCCTGTGAGTCAAAATTTAGGTTCAACTAAGCACCTTTTTTATTATTCTCCATATGGGAATACTGTTTACTTCTAAAAATAAATACACCCACCACAGATTCCTTGAGAACAAGTACATGGAATGAATGTATGAAAATAGTTAACATAATGAACTGCAGCATAAAGGGGATGCATCTTGCTACTGACTCCTCAAGCCAGAGGTCAAGTATATAAATGGGAAAAACTGAAAACTAAAGACTAGTCATCAAACTAGTGGGAATTGAAATGTTACCATCCTTCTGGTTTAGGTACCAGAAGGAGGGACAAAAGAGTTTCCCCTACTGATATGTGACAGAAAGGTAAGCACAAACTGAGCACCAAAAGTTCCTTGACACTGAGAACTAAACTAAAAGTTTTAAGGATTATCTCCCTTTGAGTGTCCTTGTATGTTTTATATAACAAAAGGTGTTAGGCAACAGCCTTTTTTGACAAGATTTATGGTAAATACATAGGTTTATCATGGACATATATCACAAAGTACTCAAGTTTGATATATCCTGAAGTCTGAATAATAATCTAAAAGCCATTGTCTTCTAGCTGAAGCGCAAAGGCAAACTGAAGCTGAGTGAATTTCCACTATAGCTCACCTAGAGCTGGTGGTCTTGCATGACAGATCTGCTCCATTCCTTCTATTTTCAATGCACAGTGACTCCCTTCATCAAGGCTTCATTCCGCAGAGGGGAACTGTATTGTTTATAATAACTATTGATGACAAAATTATACTTTTGACACTGCTTTCCATGAAGTAAAGCTTCCTGTAAGAATGACCGTAATGAATTTTGCTCTTGAACAAGGCACATGTGGCACTGTGGCATGCCAGAACAAGGCATAGCAGGGGCAAGTTCTGTTGTTTTCCCTTCATTAAGCATGTCAGGAAAGTTGGGGACCATTGTTTTAATTAACTATATGACATCTCTGACTGAGCTATCAGTCAGAGATATTCAGCTATTCAACTTTTCCTTGGCCTCACTACTGTAAAGAAATTGCTGGGTTACTGGGTAGCTACTGCTGACATCAACACAAAAATGGTGTTTGGTTATTCTCAACCCCAAGAGCCCTCAAAATTTGGAACATCTATGAATATGTATGATTTGGTTCCATTTCTCCTCGTGCATCACTGAGAGAAGTCCTATGGGACCCTATAACTCAAAGGTAGTGAACCTGCCACTCACACCTGTTAAGACTTACTGACAGAGGGGAAAATTACCTGAGCTGCTGACTCTTGGTCCCCCCAGGGGCACCACCAGAAGGATTGAGCTCAGCTCTGTCTTTATGGTCTGCAGCCAAGAAGGCACTTTTTTCCCTTAACCTGAACAAAGCTGATGTGAAACTGAAACATGATAACAGGGAGACTCAGTGCAAAACATGGACACCAGAATTAGGTGTCTGTATGAGTTGTTTGCCCAGCAGAGCCACATGCTCCATTACAGAAAGTGGAGAAGCAATTGGTACAGCCAAGGGTGCCTCAAAGCTCCTCAGCACATCATTTCCAAATTTTTTTGGAGAAAAGTATCAAGTGTAAGTAAGCTTTGCTGGTGTAATATGGTGATAACCTCAGTAGCTCAGCTCTTGCCATGCAATATAAACAGCAGGGGTCCTTCACACAATTCAAGGCATCTCAAGTTTCAAACAGAGAGTTGGCTTTTGGATTTTTTAGGCCTTCCTTAGCAACAGGGGTCAGAAATCTAAGGAAGTATTCCATATCATCCTTTAACGTAACACAACATATAAATAAGGCACAGATAAGAGAGCTCACTCCCTTCTCTCTTCCGGTTGAAGGCGACAGGTCTCTCTGCGGACGTCTTTGCCTGTATAGGCCAGGGCCTGCCTGCTCAGGCCTGCCGTTATCTCCGTTTCCTTCAGGAGGCGTGGGGAGTTGGTTGGTTCTTCCAGCGGTTCTGCTGTCTCATTCAGGGAAGTATTCAATTCATTTTTTTTATTTATTTCCTAGCTCTCTATTAACGGAATATTTGGAGGATATTTGGGGGGTTTTTTTTAGTGTTTTTTATCCTTTTTTCTCCCTCCCTTTTCCTCCCCCACCCCATCCCAGGAGCTCCCTATTGTGTGTATAATATATTCAAATTGTATATATAATTGTAAATATATATGTAAATATATGTTTTTTATATAATTCTGTTTCGTTCCGACTTCGGTTTTTCTGTGGTTCTTTTTTTTTCCCTCACTTGAGAGAGCAGGGAGGAGACAACTTGGACTTGGCAAGAGAGAGCCAAGCCAAACTTACACATAATGGCAGAGCTTTGATGAAATAGGATGCTTGTAAAGGGGACAGATAACCTGTTAGCCAGACAGGCAGCAAATTCAGAACTGTACTCACACGGGCACATATGCAGTTCAGGGTGTCGTGGTTTAATCCCAGACAGCAACTCAGCCCCACACAGCTGCTTGCCCACTCCCTCCCAGTGGGATGGGGGAGACAGCTAGAAGAAAAAAGTGAGAAAATTTGTGGGTTGAGATAAAAACCAGTTTAATAGGTAAGAGAAGCAAAAGGGAAACAAGGAATTAATTTACCACTTCACATGAGCAGACAGGTGTTCAGTCATGACCAGGAAAGCAAGGCTCCAATATGTGTAAAGGTGACTTGGGAAGAAATAACTCTATCACTTTGAATGTCCCTGTTGCTTTCTTCTTCTTCCCCCAGCTTTACATGCTGAACATGAAGACCTATGGTATGGAATATCCCTTGGGTCAGTTGAGGTCAGCTGTCTCAGCTGTGTCCCTCCCAACACATTATGCACCCACAGCCTCCTCGCTGGTGGGGTGGGGTGAGAAGCTACTATGAAGAAAATTTTTATCCCAGCCAAAAACAACACAAAGGTCATTCTTACCCTTACCACAATCAAGGAAGTCATGCCCACATTAACAAATCACCTCATTTGCACAGGCACTAGTCAATTTGTTACCTAAGGAGCCCTGAAGAAGATATAAACTTGAGTGACATTTAAACTATTTGTTTCTGTTCAGTCCACAGCTCTAAAGGTGCCAATTGAAAAAGACAGCAAAGCATTAAAAGGTAGTGTTTTAGTCTGGTTGCAATGAGAATTTGCTATTAGTTACTAAAGAATTCTGAACAGCTGCTGGAACTGACTCCCCAGCAAAACGCCAGAAGCTTCTTGAGACATATAAGTCATAGGATGACCAGGACTTTTAACATTACACAAAAATACGTTTTTTACCTACGTCTTTTGGGTGTTCCTTAGCATTTAAATTTAGATTCCATTATACCTTTGTATACATTTTAATGGCTATATAGATTTTGTAACAGCATTCTCAGAGTTGTGAGATGGAGGTTATTTTGGAGCACAAATTTGCTTCAACCAACCACACTCTAATAGAACCTGGAGAGGAAAAAGACCTATTAGTTTGTCTACTCCATTTTTCTGGCCACGGTAAAATTGTTCCCTAAAGTGTATTTTGCAATACTTTGCAGAGACTACTTCTATTTTACCAAAGAGCTGAGCAGTGACCACTGCTACTCATGGGATATTTTACTGCAGCTTATTATTTTCACATTTATGAAGTATTTTTCCAGACATTCGGTCTTGTAAATTTTCTTTCCTTTTTTTTTTTAAATGTCTGTTTTAAATGTCTGTTTATACCCCCTGTAATTAATTGAAAAGTTTACCTAAATTATATTATTAGTAAATGTGAAAAGTATTCTACAATGAATAAACAGTATGTTTTCTCTTGTCACAAACTTGCCAAAAATTACATTTTGTTTTTCAGTAACCGGCCTATGTAAAAGATAAGAATCTACTGTTACCAGCAATTTATTAAGCAATTCTTCTGGCTGAAAGGGGAGTTTTTCAGATATGTCTGATGTCCAGAAACTCAAACACACCAGGCACCGAAAGTAGCATTTAGGGAGAATGCACTCCTAAATATAAACCCTGAAAGCTTCTGGCTCAGCTTCTGTGTAATTCTGAAGTGACAATCTTTGCCACTTCCAAGCTAAAATGTCTCTTGCTGCCTGATGAAAATCTTAAAGTAGATCTGACAATTTAATTTGAGGTCTGAATTTTCTCCAAATTGAAGAATGTTTGGATCTAGGATTTTAGTTTATATTTATCTGTAAAGCTAGAGAAAAGTTTAATATTTTGTCCATGTTTTCAGGAAGGAAGTCCTTGTATTTCTTAAACTCTCCCCTATGGTTGCTTTGTCACTTCTAACCTGGCATGCCAAAAATGGTAGGTAAAGACAGGATTAAGTGGGAATAATCTCTTCCCCTTTAGCAAAATTCACTGTGATATTGTCCATCAGAGCACATGTTTCAAGGCAACAGTGCAGGAAAAAATACAAAAATATGTGTGTATATATGAAAAGCCAAGCCAAACAAAACAAACATTGATGGCCAGGAAAGTGAAATTAAAAAAAAACAAACAAACAAGCAGGTGTCTGAGTGTTATGGTACCCTAGAACACTCATAAGTGCAAGTGTTCTGCCCACCCTGATTAAGGGTTTTGCTTAGTCCCAGATCAAGCATCACATTTTTCCTCAAGATTCATTTTATGTTCTTAGCCATATCCTATCAGACTAGAACTGCAAGATTACATTCAGCTAGAGCTAAAATTCAGATGCTTTAAGAAACCAGGCTTTATGCAGCAGTTCCTCTTTGCAAATTTTACTGCCCTTGTTACTTTTAATTTACTCAATTTTCTACCTGTGTCACTGTGAGAATACTCTCTTGATATTTTTTCATCCTTTTTCCAGATTTGGATCTTACTTTCTCTTCAGTCCATGCTGACTTGTCTCTAATTGATGGTTTAGTAGCACCATGTGCAAAGTGGCTCCTGAGCTGTGTTTAATCATTGCAGTAATTTATCTTGGGTAGAGAAGTAAGTTTTACTCATTTGTGCTTTTAGGAAGAGATATTTGGCATCTAAAGGATTTTCTTCCAAGGAGTGCTTTTCTACAACAGCATAATTTTTACATTGTTTCTTTAAAAACAGGCATTATAGGGTAAATGATGCAATCATATTTCTCTGGTGCGTTAAGTACACACAAGACTTTGTATTCATGATAGTGTTTAGCTGGCTTTGATTTAATTAGGTTTTTTTTCATGAGAAGCAGGATTTAAGCATGGGATTTCCACAAAGGACCACACCTGAGTCTTGTGGAAGAGCCGTAGAAGAAATTATGGCAATTTAATAAATACATGCTGCAGAAATCACAGTTGGGGAAATATTTTGAAGCTGGAGCCTGTTGGGTTGCAGAACACAGAATTCATACAGGGCTTCCCTTGTCCAAACCACAGCCTGGGGTAGGCCGGGGGAAAGTCAGAGCCATAGAGTTGTATACTAACATCTCTGGAAGCTGATCCCAAAGCATCAGTATCTAAGACAGTACCACTGTTTTCAGGCTGCGTTAACAGATATGTCTTTCCACCTGAGCTGCGCTGAAGGGAAATTCAGCATTCCCTGCACAGATGATTTTTATGCAGAGAGGGAGCAGCAGTCACTGAGGGTTTGCCCCATGGCACGTAGTGAAAAACACATTAATCCTCAAGAATCTTTAGCTTGCTACCTGTCTGAGCCAAACTACTGTGTCCTTTAGAACCGTTAACCTCTGACAGAAAAGAGACAGGTTGCACAGTGAGCCTGCCTTTTTTATTCTTATTAGAGTTACTCATAGATGGAGAAAAGAGCTGTCTGTATGTGGTATTGATTCTTGCATGCCTGGAAGCTTATCTGTACTTTTAGCTACATCTACTAACTCTAATAAAAGATGTAACCACTCTCCCCAGACTTTGCACTGTTTACATCCTTAGACCTTCACAATTATAGCACTGCCACTACATCAACACTGTAATTATTGTCATTGTCAGATCACAGCTGAAGTAGGTAGAAAATAAGTTCCATGCAGATCTCACAAGCACCATGAAGATTATCACTGCTCCTAATCGTGTTATATGCCAAACAAGTGGAAAGGGCAAGAAATTGTGCTAATGTCATGGTTCATGTGCCACCTTCAATTCCTGAGGGTGTCATTAAAAGCAGATCAGATGTGTATGTAGACGAACAAAGAATTCACAGTGATAAATAGAATAGCTCTTTCTGCACATCCTGGAAAATGCCACATCGCTCAGTGGCCCTGATTGCATGGTTTCTGGTGCCATATGGTTCTGGGGGAATAGGTAAAGTGGCATGGAAAAGGGTTGGTGGCTCCTGTTCAGCTCTGCTACCCCCAGCACTGCCTCCCCGGTGCAGGATTTCCTGCAGGCTCACTTGATCTACCTCCTCCAATGGTGCATAAGAAATGCTAGTTGAAGAGGTTAAGTCAGGACATGAGTTGCAACCCAATTTGATACTACCGACACCTCCTTCTGCAGGTCACCCTGTGACATGGGTGCTGAAATATTTGTCTTTATCAGCAAATACTTATTTTGAAGATGCCTCTGTCACTACAAAGCATTGCTTAATTCATCCTTTCAAAAGAGAAAAGTATTTAGAGCAAAGTTTAAATGCCTACGCAGATGGAAACTGCACAATTTTTCAGCTGTCCTCAGCTCAGATTAACTCTGCCCCAGGGGCTATCAGCAGCTCCAGAAATGCTGTAACTCAAGGGTAAGTCCAAGGGAAGCTGATTTACACAGAAGACAACGCAGAGAATTTTCTTGTTAAGCAAAACATGTCCTTTCTGATGTGCACTCATTGATCCAGGGTGAGGATGGAGATGAAGGGCCACCTCACAAATCAGCACACAGGCTCTGCACAAGGGTGGAGAAGATCTGTAAGGGCTGTGCCACCCCTGTCTCTCTCAGCTTAGGAAACATTTGCTCAACTAAACATTTAAACAATGATTTTGATGTGAGTTTATTGCAATTCTTATGCATCCATATGTC